CGCACGCACGCACGCACGCACGCACGCACGCACGCACGCACGCACGCACGCACGCACGCACGCACGCACGCACGCACGCACGCACGCACGCACGCACGCACGCACGCACGCACGCACGCACGCACGCACGCACGCACACACGCACACACGCACCACACGCACCCACGCACCCACGCACACACGCACACACGCACACACGCACACACGCACACACGCACACACGCACACACGCACACACGCACACACGCACACACGCACACACGCGCACACGCGCACACGCGCACACGCGCACACGCGCACACGCGCACACGCGCACACGCGCGCACGCGCGCACGCGCGCACGCGCGCACGCGCGCACGCGCACACGCGCACACGCGCGCACACGCACACGCACACGCACACGCACACGCACACGCACACGCACACGCACACGCACACGCACACGCACACGCACACGCACACGCACACGCACACGCACACGCACACGCACACGCACACGCACACGCACACGCACACGCACACCCACACACACCCACGCACCACACGCACGCACGCACGCACGCACGCACGCACGCACGCACGCACGCACGCACGCACGCACGCACGCACGCACGCACGCACGCACGCACGCACGCACGCACGCACGCACACACGCACACACGCACACACACACACACGCACGCACACACGCACACACGCACACACGCACACACGCACACACGCACACACGCACACACGCACACACACACACGCAAACACGCGATCACGCGAACACGCGAACACGCGAACACGCGAACACGCGAACACGCGAACACGCGAACACGCGAACACGCGAACACGCGAACACGCGGACACGCGGACACGCGCACACGCGGACACGCGGACACGCACACGCGCACACACTGCACACAGGCCAGAAACACACCACACGCACACAGACACACCACGCACACACACACACACACACACCGACACCGACTCTTTCACCACACAACACACACTTGCACACGCGCTCGCACGCACGCACGAACGCACGCACGCACGCACTCACCCACCCACCCACTCACCCGCCCACGGATTGCAGTTGACAGGATCGACTCCGCCACCTGTTCGAAGAAGCTATAGATGTGGTTGGCCGAGACTGGCGCCGGGTCTTCAGTTGGCAGTTCTGGAGCTGCTTCGGCTGCCATGTCAACTTGAGGTAGCGTTTGGCGCGTTTCATGCATGACAATTGGCCCAAGTTCAGAGGCGCATTTCCTTTGTGGGAGCTATACTTCAACTTTGAGGCAGACCAGAGTTGACCAGCAAATCATTGATTTCGCGTGTTCTTCATTGCTTTGGCAAAAAGGAGAGGCATCAACAATGGAAGCGCCTTGGTGTTCTCATCCGCCGGGCAATGGCCCCCTTCTGAGTGAATGTTGGTTTGGGGAAGCCATGGAGTGTGCTTGTGACAGTGCAAGGCAATCCCCATGGAGGGCCTCTCAGTCCTGCCCTCAAAGACAATGCTTGCCCAGCGCCCCTGGTTCAAGTCCTCGGCCGAAGGCAGTTCGTGTGCGCCTGCGTGCACTGGTGGTTGGAGATAGTTGCCCCCCTCTTGAGGCGCTGGCCCAAGCTTTTCGGAACGATGCGTCAAGAGGAAGGCTTAGACCCATGTGCCAAGGAGCTTTGCTGCGAAACGGAAGTCCAGGCTCTTGAGGAGAGGGGCGATGCAAGCATCGAGGCGAGTCTTTCAAAGTCGACAGGCAATCATGTTTTGGCTTGTCAGGCTTCCTGCCATGAGGAAGCGGCAGTAGCACCCGTGATTCCGACAGAGAACTCTGAGGCACATTGCAGCAATTTGGCAAGAGACGGCAAGAGACAACAAGACATGCACAGCGCAAGACGGCAAGCCGGCAAGACTTGCACACCCGTCCCAAGTGGAAGTCTCCAGGCTGAGGCTGGACCGAAACTCGAAAAGGAGCTGGAGGCGGGTCGATGTGGCCCGAAGAGTTGCATGCGACGGCTCCTGGACAGGAAGGCGAAGTTGACGACTCGGATGACGAGCTTGCAGAAGAAACCGCGAAAGCAGAACATGGAGCTGGAGCGAGATGCAAGGCAAGTTATTTGAACAGGCAAAAAACAATGTCATGTCTATGAAGGGTACGCTCTGTGATTGAAGATCCGCTCCGAAAGCTATCAAACGGCCATCCGTTTGAGGTTCAACTTGTGCTCAAGCATCCCGCGGAGAAGACAAGCCATCAGCCTGAGCCGGCACTGAAGCCAAAGGCCAGGCGGGTGGATCAAGGGCTTCAGTCTTCAGGACCTGGGTACTCGAAGCCAGGACGAACGAGCTGAGCGGGCCAGGCGGTTTTTGGAGATGCGAGAGGCCAGAGCTACTCTAAATGCTTGCGCAGCTTTGGACAAGGTGTGGAGCTGTCACAACTCTAGGACATTTGGAGCGGTGCCGCGTCTGAAGTCGCGATGCTGCAAGAATACGAGGTGCCCTCTGTGCGGAAACTGCGAATTGCGGACAGCTTCAAGTTGTTTTGGAAGGCCCCCTTGTATCGGCAATACTTCCACAACAAGCCGTTGGGCATTGCCCAGCTTGACGCGTGGCGCCACTATTTGGATTTCGAGGAGCCCGGGTCCCAGAGTTTGAGCCATGCCTGAAAGCCTGAAGCAAACCTCAGCGGTGCTCACTTGCTCAGGTCTCGACAGCCTCGGCAATGGCGGCGGCTGTATTCTCTCTTCGAGCGCTGCTTGGTGAGCCTGGCCCGATTGCTTGTGAGCCTTGCTTCTGAACAGCAACTACCGACTGCCTCACGTTCATGCCTGGCAGGTGGTCACAAACAACTACTTGGAGTTCTGGCTTCGCTATGCAAGCCTTCTTGAAGAAGCTGAGGCCGAATCCCCCTTGCTGTCGTACGGCAGGGCCGGCGTTTGCTTGCGTGCTTGCTTGTTGCTTGTTTGCTGGTTTGGTTGTTCTGTTTATTGGTTTGTTTGTGTGTTTGCTTTTTTGTTTGTTTGCTTGTTTGTTCCCCAGATAGCTGAAAGCTATAGGGGTTCTAACTTCTAATAAAGAGTGGAAAGTGATTTGCGAGATTGAGGGCCGGGTGCTAGGGGGCATGCAGTTTGGGGTGCTGGTGGATGCTGCTTTCCAAGCTTGACGGCCGGGTGTTAGGGCGCATGCAGTTTGGGGTGCTGGTGGATGCTGCTTTGCGAGCTTGACGGCCGAGTGCTAAGGGGCATGCAGTTTGGTGTGCTGGTGGATGCTGCTTTGCGAGCTTGACAGCCGGTTCTAGGGGGCATGCGGTTTGGGGTGCTGGTGGATGCTGTTTTGCGAGCTTGACGGCCGGGTGCTGGGTTTGGGGTGCTGGTGGATGCTGCTTTGCGAGCTTGACGGCCGGGTGCTAAGGGGCATGCAGTTTGGGGTGCTGGTGGATGCTGCTTTGCGAGCTTGACAGCCGGTTCTAGGGGGCATGCGGTTTGGGGTGCTGGTGGGTGCTGTTTTGCGAGCTTGGCGGCCGGGTGCTGGGTTTGGGGTGCTGGTGGGTGCTGTTTTGCGAGCGGTTCTAGGGGGCATGCGGTTTGGGGTGCTGGTGGATGCTGTTTTGCGAGCTTGACGGCCGGGTGCTAGGGGGCATGCAGTTTGGGGTGGTGCTGGTGGAGGGGCACGCAGTTTGGGGTGCTGGTGGATGCTGTTCGCGCGTAACGGTTTGTGGCTGGTGTATCGTCATGATGTTCGCAACCACGTCATGATGCAACTGGGGTCACTGCGTTGCTGCTTTATGGTTTGTGGGTGTAGTGGCGCCGTGATGCTGCCAACATCAGGCTGATGCTGAATTTCATTATGCTGTCGCAAGATGGTTCGTGGCTGTGGTATCATCATGATGCTGCCTTTACCATCAGCATGATGCTGTTTGCATCACCATGATGCTGTCCGCATCATCATGATGCTGTCCGCATCATCATGATGCTGTCGAACTCATCAGGACTGTATCAGCATGATGCTCTCAACATCATCATTGAACTCATTAGGACGTTGTATGCGCGTTTGTAGCGCACCATGCTCAGTGGCTGTGGTATCATCATGGTGCTGTCTACATCATCATGATAATGCTGCGTCATGGTTCGTAGCCGTGGTGTGCTATCTGGGGTCTATGCTGGTGTATTTTATTGTTTTGCTTTTATTGTTTTGGTGCGCACACGCGAATATCGAGGAACGTTGAATGAGACTTGTGTCCAATGTTTCTCTGATTCTGATGTTCTGATTGGGCGAGGTGATGACTGGAAATCAACCGGAGCTTGCCTGCAGCCTGCTTCAAGGCACAGCTGTGCCTGCTCCGCACTTGGGGCTGCTGGCATTCTGACTAGGCGCCTGTCTCTCTGGTCGTCTTGCCAGAAGGGCAGATGCATTGGCAGCATGGGCTGAGTTAGAGGAGCGCATTTTACTTGCACCTACTTTAAGTTCAACGCAAGGTTAGTAAAGACAGAGCTCGGTGATCAACAGGAGCAGTGTGGCCGAGCCGCCCGCGCTCGCCTGCTGCTGGATGCGGGTCTATCAAGTTGTGGCGAGTGTCTCAGAAATGGAAATGGTAGGAGAGATTGCCACCCAGTGGGGCGGCTTCGAGGTCGAGGCTCAACAGAGCTGGCGTTGCGACGGGCAGCCCTTGAGTCTCGCCACCATGCCATCCTCTCAGAACACCTTGGCACGTGGTGCCTGGGAACTGCTTCTCTGGCAGTGCCGCAAAGGCAGTTTTCTTTGCAATCCTGTACTCAGGATTGCACAAAAGCTGTAGAGCTTTTGCAGCAATTGGCGGGGCAGGCATCAAGCACTGCATCCCGGGCCATTCTGAGTGGGTAGCTTTGACGAGCTGTCATGTGAGTGGAGCATGGGAAGGCAGACCCTGCCAAATCTTTGAGATGAGGTCGCCGCTTGGCGCGTCTTTGCGAGGACATCAACCCAGATGGATCAACCGGGTCCTTGGGGAATTTTAGGATGAACCATGAATGCACATTTT